TGACCGGTACACTTCACAAAAAGTATACCGGTCAAACTACGTTGTCATCCCATTTGTTCCAGACTTCGATAAATTCATCCCTCGGAGATTACCCGGTGTAGTTTCTGGGGTTGGAAAGTGTCGGCAGGAGAGGATCTGCGAGGGTTTGGCGTGTAGCGACCCGTGTCAGTAGAGGACAACTGGAGATGCTGAAGAATCCATCCAAGGCACTATTTGACAAAGGGAATGATCCCCTTCACAAGGCGACAAGGCAGCTTGAGGACGAAACCAGTCACCTCGCACCACATCGGCAGCATGCCCCCACGTGGGCGCACGTGGTCTTGTCCCCTTAGCCTAGTATAAATACTCATGTAAACCTCAGAAAGAGGGATCCGAATTCATTCTCTCTAAACTCCCTTGTAAAAGCACCCGTGCATTCTCCGTTGTAATATAAATTGGGTTACAGGTGTTCCACCTAAAATCCTACCGGTCAATTTGCGTGTTTTTACCTTTCTTACTTTGCCAAATCAAGCGAACTATTCTAGACCCGGTCTATTATAGTTTGACCGGTCAAGTAATTTACACCATCAATACCTATAATTTAAATATGCGTTTTTGAAAAAAGAAATCAACCAATGAGCTATTAAGTTTGACTAGATTTGAATTTAATTTAATTTGAATTTGATCAATATTGGGTCTAACCAGTTTTGGGTCTAACCAATTTTGGATCTAATCGATTTCGGGTATTCGAATTCAATCGGATTCAGATCTGAATCTGGTTTGAATACATTTGGTTCGGTTTTGGTTTGGTTCAAATCTTTCAGGTGTTCAAGTTTAATGCGATTTTTAATTTTCCAGCTATTCCAGGTTGGTTCCAAATTAATTCGATTCCATTTATCGGATTCGGGTATGCACAGGTCTTGTTAGGACCATCTAACCTATCCGTACGGCACCTCAAAGGCATATTCCCACTCACCAGATGCCGTCAAAACAGACACCGTTAATACTCTTAACAGTGATTGAGCCATCATCATTCATCCATCATCTTCTCTTCTTCATCTTTTTAGGTGAAAAAGTCAGCAAGGAAATTCCAGCGAAAAGGTCTCTCTTCTCTCTGTGATCGAATGCTTCTTCTCCATCGCCATCTCTTCGATCCTTCCGATCAGCAAGTCCGTTGATGCCAATACGCCACGCATTCCGAGATCGGTAGAGAGGGAATGGAGGTGGAGTGGTGGCTGGGATTGGCGGAGCTGGTCAATAAGCCGGCTGTGGTGGAAGCATTCGTCGACATTTTGGTCTGCATCGTCCCGATTTGGGTGGCCGTGATGATCGGCCTCTTGATTGGCTGGTCCTGGCGCCCTCGCTGGACCGGAATCCTTGCTATCGGTCTTAGGTCCAAGCTGAACAGGATCCTCTGGACGATTCCTCCCGGCTTCGGTGCCCGCCGCCTCTGGTTGGCCTTCACGGCTCTCTCTGCCTTCTCCGTCGGGAGCAGGCTGTGGGGTAATTTCCGTGGCAGGTCGCGCAAACCGACTTCTGTGGCGGATGATGTTTCTTCTCCCGCGGATCGAGAGGTTTCTGCTTGGACTACCACGGCAAGGAGGAGCGCCGATGATATCATCCAGTATGTTTTAATTTGAAGCATTTTTCCACCATGTTTATGATACTCTGCTTGTTTGCTTTTTGTTATGGTTAATGTTTTGCATCCAGTGGTAGATATGCTTTATATTTATTTAACTATTCAAGTGATAATTGCATACATATTTGACTATTTGAGAGAGAATTACTATCATTACGGGCCCTGGAGGGGCTGAAGCAACAGTTTCTCTCAATAGATGAAATTTCACCCAAATCTCAACAACATATGGTGAAAAAGAGACAAAAAAAAGAGCAATTAAATGTTTGGGAGAAATTATCCAGAGTGTATTTAAATTTTTGTGGACTTCTTGAACCACAAAGGTCTTTGTAGGAGCTACTCTTTCTGTGATATTACAGCTCTCTTTGAAATCTTTCTCCAGCTTTGCTCATGAATGCTTTTTCTGTTCATCCGAAATGTAAGCTAAAAACTTTATCATTCTTCCGGAAAGTAGCCATCTCCGGTCAAATCCCCAGATTCCCTTGGCTGGACTGGATATCCAAGTCTGACCCATTTGCTCAAAACCGGCTGGCTTATGTCCTAAAGTAACCAAAGCGTTCATATAATGTCTCTTGCTTGTGCACCTAAATATGATGCATCTCCAATCTCCACATGACTCTGTGGTGTAGTGATGTGATCCTAGATAAGGTCACATATTTGATCCCCCTCCCTATATATGTGTTAATATGAGCATGGATGCATAGTTTTTGAAACCATATTTATTGTGGACAAACAAAAAATGCTTGATAGTAAAACAAAATGCCATCTAAAAAGGACCAGTGACTCATTTTAGAAGGAGCATTATGGGGGGTGTTTATAGGGGGTGTTTCTCTATATTGGTGCTTCTTAGCTTATTATTTATAAGCAGTTTTTAACTTATAAACTGCTTATAAGTTAAATATTCTTCCGTGGAAGTAAAATGACTTAAATGATAGATAAGTCATTTGGGGATATTCTTAAGTGGTGAGGGAAAGTTTTGTAAATAACTTGGTCAAAATGGAGATCCGAAAAAAACTGGCTTTAAAATAAGTAGGTAAGACGTACTTATTTTTCTATTTCAAGCAGCTTATAAGTCAGCTTTTTGTAAGCACATAGAAACACGTCTTTAGCTGACTTATAAGTTAAAAATAGCTTATAAGCAATTTTGACCAGCTTATGAGGACAGAGCAACACCCACAAAATATGTTAATGTATTTGAGGTTGTTAAAGAAATACTCCCTCTGTTCCAATTTATTATGCATTTTTTGATTGGGCAGGGATTTCAATAAAGTGATAACTTTGAAGTTGAGAGAAACAACATGAACTGCATATTGTTTTCTATTAATGGAAACATGCATATGAAATTTGAACAGATGAAAAAGGAAAACACCCAAAAAAATTGGGACATATGGTGTACTACTTTTGCATCATGAATATTAGTTTTGCTCCTCATGTAGGTCCTTAACTGGAAATGCAGACCACGAAAAAGGGGATGTAACCGAAAATGATCTGGAACACTTTCTGCAACTTCTGGATGGCAAAGATGGGGAGATAGGATGGCAATGCATGATGGAACGCTCTACTTCAAATCTGACATACCAAGCTTGGCGCCATGAGTCTGAGGTTTGTTTTGCGCTTAAGTGTGTGATGTCTATCTTTTCCATCATTTTCTGACTGATGTTTGCTTCACTAACACAGTTGTCATATGAAGAATGACATGATTGTTTTGTACTTACACATTAGAATGTAGGGTCTCATTTCTGTTTCTGTTTTCTTTCTCCCATATTGGTATGAAGAGTGACTAGTTTTTCATCTTTCTTTTGGCGACATCTCGAGAAACAAGCAGACCATGACTTTTCCTATATAAAATTCGATTATGTTAATAGATGGTTGTTTAAATAACAAATTGCACATTTGGTACTTAGTCTGCTTAATGCAGAATTAGCTTATTTTGGCTACCAAGCAAGTCTTTAATTTTGATTTGTACTATGTTTGCTACTGGGTTAAAAATCTTAGGCATGCTTTTGCCAAGACATTCTTGGCACCTGTTATAGACACACATATGTTTGTTTTAAGTATGATACAAGTGAATGACAATACTCTACCCTTTCCATGGGACCATGGTATGTTCAACTTTATTTAACAGCTGGCCCTTTTTCTCCCACAGGCTGACCCACCTGGGTTGCTTCTCCGGAGCAGAACTGTATTTGAGGATGCCACTCCAGAGCTTGTCAAAGATTTTTTCTGGGATGATGAGTTTAGGCTTAAATGGGATCCTATGCTTGCATACTTCAAGATATTGCATGAATGTCCTCAGAACGGGTTCATGATAGTTCACTGGATTAAAAAGGTTCATAAAAGATAGACACTTCTAATTTCTTATGCTTTCTACTCTGTAACACTTGGACGACTTGAAACCCTTGTATGCAGTTTCCATTTTTCTGCAGTGATCGTGAATATATTATTGGCAAAAGAATATGGGAATCTGGAGGAGCTTATTATTGTGTAACAAAGGTACAAGTTATTAACAGAACCATTACTGTTATGAACATAACAATGGTGCGTGTTTCTAGAGTGCAATGATTAAGATTACCAACTGATACAATAACTCAAAAGCACCTCTATAGCATTCTATCTAGTGAACCGTTTACACTTTACACTAAGTTTAATATTTTGGATTTCCATAACATAAAAATGGATGTTGTATATGTTCTAATGACCTGTTAACTCCAACTCCAGTGTGTTCCATATCCGGCTGTGCCAAAGCGTGACAAACCTAGGCGTGTGGATGTGTACTTTTCAAGTTGGGTTATCAGGCCTGGTAAGCATTCATTCTATTAGCCCTCCCCTTACATTTTTTTTAACCAAACACACTCTTTGAGCCTAGCCACCCCCCAACCCCCTTGCCTCCCACACCCGGGTGCTCTGTTGATGCTCTGTAATTGCTCAATAGAAACTTCTTAGGCATCTCTAATCAGCATTTTATTGGCAAAAACCTCTTTGTTCGTAATCAACTGTTTTTATAGATATACTATACATAAATTGCAATATTTATTGTGTCATTTTGATTTAATTTATTATCACTCCATTGATAATGTAAATCCCACCACTTATCCTTCGGTGACTCGGTCGTTCACACTTTTGATGCAGTGGAATCACAAACAGGGGACGGACAATCATCCCCTTGTGAAGTCACACTCACCCATTACGAAGACATGGGGATTCCCAAGGACGTTGCGAGGCTAGGCGTCCGCCACGGCATGTGGGGGACCGTGAAGAAACTCCATGCCGGCTTCAGATCATACCAAAACATGAGGAAATCCGACGACGGCCCGGTGTCTAGGTGCGCCAAACTGGCACAGGTCACCATGAGAATGTCAAGGGAGTTGCACTGCAGTCAGCGGGCGCAAGCCATGCCGCCGCCGTCCAGCAGGGAGGAGCAAAACGGAGTAGGCGGTGAGGTTTCATCGTGCGTGGTGGCAGGGGCCGCCAGAAATGGCAGCGGAGTTGACTGGAAATGGGTGGTCATAGGGGGAACCGTCGCTCTCGTCGGCCTTCGCATGGGATTGTTTGGCAAAGTTTTGTTTCTTGGGGCAGGACAAAGACTTGGTCGGAGGCGGGCAAATTTTCCTCGCTAAGGAGTATTAATCGTATTATGGCTTCATTTGGGAATATCGTTTGCAACTACTACTAACGCTAAAAGAGCAGCTACTATCGGATAGCATTTTCAAAAACGCTAAAACTAATGCCAAACAGAGCCTGTATATACTCCGGGTATCTCTTCTGCACCTTCAATTATTGCGATTTATTGTACGTGCGGCTTATTATGATGAACATAAAATATGATTTAAATTATAGATTCAGTTTACTATGGAGAGTTATATCATAGTATGGCGTAAAGTGTTTCTTTGGTGCACCTTAGGTGCATACAATTTTTGTGGACCTTCTCACAGAAGAAATCTAATTTTTTTTATTTTTTTATTTAAAAAATGGATTCCTCTTGATTTGTACCAAAATGATACCAAACCATCCCAAAATATTGATAACCGATATTTCGAAATCGGACGTTGAATCTCATATCAAACCAAAATATTCGTAGTACTGATACAAGTTAGATATTGTCTAAAACCGTATCATGTTCACCCCTAAAAAAAGAGTTATGTACTTCTAAAAATAAAATAGGAAAGAGCCATGCTTGGAGAATTCCAAGTTGCACTCACCCTTGACCCCGATATTTTTGAAGACACCACAGATACAAAATATTGTTTCGTGTCTACGATGTCTGTAAAAACCAACGACCTGTAGCTCATTAAACTCGTCTGAAATTCCTAACTCAGTGGCACGCAGTCATTTGAATGTTGCCGCTCGGACAAAGTCTAATTCTTCTTCTCTTTGTTTGCTTCCGTTTTCTTTCTTTCACACACCCCCCCTTAATCCTCCTTATTTCCTTCTTTTTGAACTTTCTTAAATTAATCTTCCTCTCCTTTTTTAGAAATTTTGTTGAGGCCAACTCACTTTTTTGCGTCACTTTCAACCATACAATTCCATTCTTAAATATCATACAATGTCAAACTAGAAAAATTAATTTGGGACGGAAAGAGCATTTGGTAAATGAGGAACTCGGACTAGAACCAGTCCGGGGGTCGCGGCGCTTCCCGACCATGTCCTCGTGGTGATCTTGCCTTTTGCCCCCCCACCCACCGGTGGACGGGGGTGTGCGGGAGGTTCTCGATGGTTCCCTCTCCCATCTTCTTTTCATCGGCACGGACGGAGCCCACCGCCGAAGAACAGTGTCGGGGATGAGGCATTGCTGACCATTTGTCGGTACATATTGCCAAATTGTTGAGCACGGTTTGGGTGTCCAACAAGAACCCGTTGCGGAGTAGTATGTTAATGAAGAAATGGGTGGATAAAATCACGATTTAACCATCCATCTCCTAGTCTATGTGTAGGAGCAAGATTACACACTACCTTAATTTTTAAGAAATATTTGCATTAAAAAACACAAAAACTTAAGTCATTTCTCTAAATAGTACTTAAATTGTTTTATTCTCTAAATAGCACTAAAATATACTTTTTATATTATAAAAATATGATATTCTTGAATGAAAATTTCTATACGGAAGGAAATACGTAACTTAACAAGCCACGAGTGAGACGACGGCGCTGGTGACGGTGATGAACTCGCCGTTGAGCTTCGGCACCAGAGTGACTGTGATGCTCCCGTCAAACTCGAGCTCCAAGTCCTCCAGCACCTCCGTGATCGCCAGGTTGAACGTCGTTGTCTTAGGTTTTTTGTCGTCGTTGTCGGCGCGGTCTCTACCGGAGCCCTCGTGAATGTGGGCCAGGTTGGCAAAACTCCCCAGGTACTCGGCCCGGTCAAGCTCGAACGCCTTCAAGTCGTTGTCCTCGTTGATAAACAAGTCAAACCGGATAGATTTTGTCTCGTCATAGGTCAAGCCCAACCCGAGCAGCTCCTCCTGTTCCTCTTTCTCCGTCGTTGACCTCCTTACCCTCGGCCTCCTCACCCTAAAGGTGATAGTCCTGTCCAGGGCCACTGGCAGGACTTTGGAGGCCGGGGGAATCAGGACTCTGCTATTACTCGGATTCGCCCTCGCCTTCTTCCTCCAGGTTGGCCTGAAGTTCCTCCACGGCATCGGCATTGTCTCGAAAGTGTACCCAAGCTTCTCGTGCTCGAGACAATCTTGAACCTTGACCTTGACGAGGGTTTTGTTTTCATCGTAAAACACGAACTCGGACTGGAGCCAGTCTGGGTCTGTGATGTCTCGACGCTTCCCGCCTAAAGTCTTCCAGAGGGCCCACATGCGGTCCACGTTCCAGTGGTGGGAATAGAATATGGGGTCCAACGCTGCAGAGTAGAAGTTACCCATGTCCTCGTTGTGAGTCGTCCTCGGGTCGCCCACCCATCGGTGGATCGTGTTGTGCGGGACGCTCTCAATGGTACCCCCTGCAAATTAAGGATATTCATTAACATATACTCCCTCCGTCTCCCTGTATTTGTCCACATTTGACTTTTGGAACTGTTTATCTAAGCACTTTGACTCATCAAATTTTCTCAATGTGTAAGCCTAAATATAGTCATGTGTGATCTTGTTTGATTTCTCTTAACATATAGATTATTAATATATAATTTGTATAATTTTTTAATATACAAATTACAAGATAAAATGGGTTAAAGAAGTGCATTGGATGGTGTGCAAAAATGAAAGTGGACAAATACAGGGAGACGAGTACTCTGTATTATTTTATTATTCTTGGTAAATAATACTCCCTCGGTTCAACAAAATAGTTCTTATTTTGACTTTTACGAGATTTATTTTTGTAATTTGACTTTCTAATTAAATCATTAACGTGAAAAAAGAGAGACAAATTACTTAAATAACTCGTTATATCAATGCAAAATGGATGGAATATATTGTAATGACTTTATTTGGATATATTAGTCATTTTAATAATAAAAAAAGATGTATTCTGGTGAAAGCGAAAAAAAATGAAAGATGAATGGTTTCGGTGTGAGTATCTTCTCAATTATACCTCCAGAGCTCGTGTCGTAACCCTCCCCGCGGAGGGCGTTGCCGAAGAAGAGCAACGGGCACGGAGCGTTGGTCACCATTTGTCGGTACATCAGGGCGAGATTGTTCCTCAGGATTTGGCTCTCACTCGCATCTAGGACTTCCCCCGCGGAGTAAGCTAGGTCCAACAAGAAGTCGTTGCGGTGCCCCTGGTTACGGACCTCGTCGTACAGCGGGGACCCCCTCTCGTCGAAGATCTCCGGCAGGAACATGCCCTGTGGGTTGTCCCAGTTCCAGTAAGGGATCGTGAAAGTCGGGTCTCCGATCAACGATTGCAATATCCTCTCGTGAAAGTACAAGTACCTTTAGGCCAGGGTCATACATACATCAAAAAGACAAACATATTCAACGACTAATGATGAGTTAATAAGATCTTAATTGTTTTTAACACTCATAAAATCTTAAACTAATGTCAAATTGTCAACTAATAAACCTAACATATACTACCTCTCCGTGAATATTTGTTATATTTTGGTTTTTTTCTCTAAAGTATTTTGACTTTCAATTTTTTTTGTAAGAATTAAAAAATAAAAGAATTTAGAGTAATAAAGGGAAATGTGAGAGGTCTTATATAAGATTAGATTAATAAAACATTCTATGTAATTATTTTATCCATAATTTTTTTAATATAGTTTAAAATATTGATGTTTTCCTGTTTTATCATGCAGATTAATATACAAAAAAATTGTCTTATTCATATTAAAAAGTTGAAAAAAAAAATAATGAGTGTGAATCGTAAAAATAGTAAGATAAAATAATAATTTATAAACTATAATTATGAACATACTTAAAACTTGTAATAATAATAATAATCACATTAAAAATATACTCCCTCTGTCCACCATAGATCTTCCCAATAGCCCTTTTTCTTTATCCACAATAGATCTTCTCATTTCATTTTTTAACAAGTAAAATACCACAACTACCCCACTTACTTTATTTATTACACCTCACCCACCTCATTTAATACACTCCACCCATTTTTCATTAAGGGTATTATGGTAAACTTTCACTTTTTTTCAACTCTTCTTAAAAACCACCAAAAGTCAAAATGAGAACATCTTAGGCGGACGGAGGGAGTACTATTTTTTTGGAGTAATTGGTTGTGGAGTACTAAGAGTTGAAGAAAATGAGAATAGTTGGAAGAAACAGAAAGGAACAGAAAGAAACTAGAAGAAAGTGAAAGGGAAAAAAGAAATACAATGTTTAGAGTTTAAGCCATAAACAACATAGTCAAATAGAAAAAAGATATACCGAGTAGCTGGGAAGAAGAAAGTAAATTCAGAATGCAATACCATCTGTGGAACGGGAAGAACAGCCATGAGAAGTGGATCTGGTAGTCCTGGCCGCCGCCGGCAAGTTTATAAGCGCCGTTACAGTAAGCGCAGTGGACGTTAGCCTGCTGGTAGAAACTCCGGGGATCGTCGTCGGGGAGGTCCCTCATTCTCCGAACCGCCGCCTTGTACTTCTCCAACTGCTCCTCCTGCACGGCGTGCGCCGCCGGGCGGACGTTCAGGCGGGAGAAGCTCGGGAGCTCGTAGTCGGCGGCGTCGCCGGAGAACAGCGACGGGCAGCACGAGTACGGCACCTTGTCGGTGGTGGACGTGATGGTGGCGGGCCCGCACTTGGAAATGTCCGGGGGCGGGACCGGGCTCGCCCCCGCGTTATTATTGTTATAATTAGTGTAATATGCGCCGTAGAGACCTCCGAGCCCGAGGAGGACGTTTCTCCGGTCGACCATCGGGGTCGGCGGAGCCGGGTTTTGATCGTCGGAGGAGGAGGAGGCTCCGCATGAGAGTACCTTGGAGGTTTTGATAGGCTTGGGTATTAAATGGGGAAGAGATGAGTTTTTGGAGGGGAAGATGCATGAAGTTGGAAAGGTAGTTGAAGCCATTATATTGCTAGCTACCTAGATTACTATAACCTAGCTCAATTCCCACAAGATGGGGAATTAGAGATATCTATTGCTTTATTTATAGGTGTAGATTTTGTATAGAAACATCTCAATCAAATTTTTCATGTTTTTGCTTTTTTTAAAAATATCATATTTTCTTCAACTCTCAATCTCATATTTTCTTCATTTTTTGACTTTTTTTAAGTGTTATTGTTTTTATTACAATGAAATATGTGTTTATAGATTTTTCAATCTAATGACACATAAAGGCCAGTACCTTCACCTCTCCTTGAACTCAAACCTTAGTGAAGTTTCTCGTGATCCAATCTTGGGGAGAGGACTTCCTAACACTGAAACCAGAGGAAAAGTTTCTTCTGTAATACCCCGTATTAAGATGGGAAAGGGAAGAGCTCAAAAGAATTGATAGTACCACTCATACCAACAAGGTGCATCTTCTTTTTGAGAGCTGATCACCTAGAAACTCCAAAGTTAAGCGTGCTTGACTTGGAGCAATTCTAAGATGGGTGACCCCCTAGAAATTCCTTAGGCGCGCACGAGTGAAGACAAAGTACATGAGAAAGACTTGTGTTGGTTTGTGGGGTCAGTCTACAATCTTATGAGCAGACGCTTACGGTCAGGGTAGGGCCGGGGTGTTACACCTTCAATTATTTACTTTAATTGTCACCTTTTTCAAAAAAAATGTGATCACAAATAACACAAAAATATCATAAAGTATGAATTGATGTAAATTTGTTGGGATCCGTGTATTGGTCTTGCTTCACAGCAGTTGACCGGTTAGACACAAGTATATCATCAGAATGGAAGATTTAAACGAAAATATGGATGATCGGTCGGATTCGAGACGCCGACCAGTACGATATGTAGACTTACCAGTCAGAGTACATGACTTCATGCTGGCGGTCCTCTGTCCTTTCAAGACGCATAACCGGTGAACCTACCGGGTAGGTTGTTATGGTATGAAAGTTTGGGTACGAATAGCTCCAAAGGTGTTTGGACGGTGGCGACCGTTTCAACGAAAGATTGCAGGCATATTCCAACATCTTCATATGGGCACTACGCGCCAAAGAAAGTGTTGTTAGCACATGATGACAAGGGAATATGACAAAACACTACGGAACAAGAGAAAGTCACTAGAGTCAGATCGAAAATGTGGTTAGGTTTGGGTGCATAAATGGTCTTAGAGTTTGTTCTCATTAAGTTATTCTTATTTGAATCAAATTAGATCAGTCCTGATCAGATTAAAGAAAAACTTAAATATAATTACTATCAAATCAAATTATATCATAATAAAATCGGATAAGATATGAACAAATGAGAACAAGCTCTTAATCCTTAAACCAATCAGAAGTTTGACCTAATTTGAGGGGCAGGTTAGATCATTTATAATGGTCCCTAAATCCGACCTGCCTCAAATCCCGCCACATCAGCATTCCACTCACTTTTCGGCCCGCCTCAAAGTCCTAAAATGATATTGTCCTGAAAATCCATATCCATTCTTACATTATTCATTATTTTTAATTACAATTAAAAAGAATAAAATACATATAATTAAAATAAAATGTTAAGATTGACATTCTTTATTAAAACAACATCGATCTAAAAGACAAAATACACCAAAATATATTTAAAATTTAGAAAACAAACAAAAACATCAAAAAAACGAAATTTTCAAAATTAATGCTACAATTAAATATTGTTGCGTTTCCAGAGGGAATGAAGTGGAAATTATGTTGAATTTATAAGGTTGAAAGAAAAAATAAAAAAACCCAACAGGGTGAACCGCATGCAGTGGGTGGCCGCCACAAAAACCGCCTCATTTTCTGTATGGCCTTGCGCTGCTCTTTGGGCGAGCGCTGAGGCGTGCTCCCTTTCCCCACTCCCTCCTCTACTCGCATTTAGCCATATAACCTACTTCACCCTGATTTAACACACCCACACACTTATATACATATGGCCCCTTATCCCACTCCCCATCGGGGTGTGTGTTAAATTAGGGTGGGGTGGATTATGTGGCAAAATGTGAGTGGAGGAGGGAGGAGGGACAGGGAGGGGGGACAGAGGATTCTAGTCAGCTGCAAAAAGGATTGTAAACGAATTGAATCGAAGCAAATACCGAGATATTTGAATTTGTATTTGTTACGGAGTATATTTTTTTCGAATACGAAACCGAATCCGAATATGAAACGAAAAATAAGATTTCTATTTGTATTTGATTAATATTCGAATAGTTAACGATTCGTAAATGAATATTCGAATGATCATACTCCATAATTTATATGATGGATAAACATCGATTTTGAATAATTTAACTTACAATATTTCATATATTAAATTTGAAAACATTAATACATTTGTATCCTACACAAATTATATTTTATAAAAATATAACTATCAAAAGGCATATATTTTAGATTTTTGTATTACGTTAATTTGATTGATTAGTTTGCTTGATTATTGATTTTGAAAACATGATCTATGTCTATATGTATTCGAATCGAATATGCATCTATTAGCATTTGTTTAAGATTCGAACTTCAAAACTAGTATTTGAATTCGAATATTGCAAATTCAAATCATTATATTCAAATACGGAGCACGAATTAAATATAAAGTATTTGATTTATTTACATTTGTACTGCAAATGCCCTCAACCCACGATTCCATGTCATTATAAACGTAAAAAAAACAAAAGAAAAACATTCTTTTCCCAACCAACTCCCTCCCGATCCGCGCCATCAAGTAACAAACTTAGATTCCACGTCCGTCGATTCTCTCAATCCAACGGCTCATATTTAAACCGTTCTCCATAGCCGCGCGATCCGCGCCTCCCCATTTCAACCAATCACATCTCTTCGTCTATCTTCTCTCTAATCCCTATAAATCCATCGTTTCTTCAGTAAAAACTCACTGTAAACCGTTTTAATCCGCAGTTATTTGCAAAAGCTTCTTTTCATATCCTTTTATGGCGATCAATACTGCCGGGAAACCTGATGCCGCCGGCAAGGCGAAGAAAGCTGCCGTCACTAAGAAGCCCCTCGCTCATCCGCCTTATGCTGAGGTATACCTCCGTGTATTTCTGTTGATTGTTGACTGTTTTGATGATCGATCATACATTTGATTCGAAGGAATACATTCGGATTTTAAATTTGGGTTTTTTTTCCATTCTTCTGGAACCCTAGATGATAACTGAGGCGATTGTAGCCTTGAAGGAGAGGACTGGTTCGAGCCTGGTGGCGATTGCGAAGTTCATTGAGGACAAGGAGAAGGATTTGCCGCCCAATTTCAGGAAGCTGTTGCTTGGCCAACTTAAGAAGCTCGTGGTTTCTGGGAAGTTGACGAAGGTGAAGAATTCGTTCAAGATCTCCCGCCATGCTAAACCTGCTGATGCCGCTCCTGAACCCATTGCAGCACTGAAGAAGGCTGTGACGGCCGCTGCAAAGCCTAAGGCTGTGACTAAGAAGGTGGCTTTGAAGAAACCAAAGGTTACAACTCCTGCTAAAAAGCCGGTGACTAAAGCCGCTGCCATGAAGAAAACTCCGGTGAAGAAGGTTGCTCTGTCTAAGATAAAGAAAACTCCCATGAAGAAGACTAAGAGCACCAAATCACCCGCAAAGAAGGCCAGGAAATGAAGCTCTTAATGTTTGCTGTCCTGCAATAGTTTTAGGTTTTGGTAAAATTCTCTGCCTTAGAGTTTGTAAATTTCAGTTTGTGTTTTCTGTGTTCATAGCTTCATTTTGCATCTCTGTTGTTTCACTACCACCATTGATGTTCAATGGTTTAGCCAGTAGTAGTCTGTTTTCTGCATATGTTATAAGCTGCTTGGAATTTCAAGATCTTTGTTGAAATGAAGAAGAATGTTCATAAACAACTAACATTACCTAGAATGTGTTCTATGTTTACTGATCTGCTTTAACAATTATCTTGGCTAAACACATTCTGCTTATTCCTGCTTTTGTCATTTGAGGAATAAGGACATATCAATATCTAAAATTACAATGAATGCATTGTTTGAATCAATGATTTTCAAGTGCTTCATTTATTAAATTGTCAAGGCATACTTTTTGGAAAATGCTACTTTAACTCAGAGATGACGCCAAGTCTGACACCATGAGAAATTATCATGTACAATTACGCATAGACTGAGAAATTATGTCTGGTGGTGTCAATATTGGTGTCATCTGTGGTGTGTGGTAGTAACATGGACCTACTGTATTTACTTGTCACCTTCAACAAAAAAGATTAGGCCACCATGTGTAGAAAGTACAAATCAGCTATGGAACTCTTACAGGACTGGAAATGGAACAGATCAATATTGTGATCTTCATGGCAACCAAACTAGAACCTTGCAGGTTTGCACTTTGAGAGGATCCATTCTTTCTCCTCTTTCTTTTTTGTGGTTTCTTTTAGGTGTTTGATTTCAAAAGCCTAACTTCAACCTCTCTTCAACTTTTATCTTCAGCTCATCTTCAGAAGGAATCTTGCCTCCACTTTCAGATGTTTTGCACCACCAGGTCATAAGTTCCTCCTGATAAATTAATTTTTTAAAAAAATCTGTATTTTACCAAAAGTGTGGAGTAATTTCATACTACATACAGTATCATTTTCATTACTCTCTTCCCATTAGGATAAGAATGGTAAATTGTGGTGAAAAAATATGTCCATAGATTTTTTTGGACATAAAGAGGAAGAAACAAATTTGGTCAACAAAAACATATACGTAGTAGATAAGAATAGAGGGAGGAATGTATGTCTAAAAACATCAAATACTTAGCACACAAATAGAGATAAATGTGTACCTCAAGAAAGTCATGGTTGGACACATACTGGCTTTCGACAGAGCAAGTGATGCCACAAAGACTTACTGAGATGCACTTGGAATTTTTTGTCGAATGGTCTTGTTGGGACTCTGCAGATCAACAATATATGCATAATGGGAATTGAAGAGTTATTACTAACCAAGAAATGCTTTTCCCATTTATGCCAAACTGAAGTTAAGTTTTCTACAATTTTACACTGTTCAAATGTAGAGATTCTTGTAAAGGGTGAAAGAACATATACCAGCTATACGAGCAATGAAGTAGCCCGTTCCTCCTAAGCCCCCACCTTCCCACCGTCCGAGTCTCAGACGCAAGAAAAAACCATCTAAGTGGAACAATGATGCTTTGGAGTTCAGCCATCTGAGGAGACCCAAAGGTTAGATATTTGTGAGTGGAAGTTTTATCTAAATCATAATCAAGCTCATGTGACAAACTAATACAGGCACAAAATTTGTAGTTTTTGTGTAGCTTGAATCAATAAGACTTGTTTTTTATTTGAAAGGTTTGGGACTGTATTACTTAGGACAGGGAAAAAAGATTAGTATGAATAAAATGCTAAACTCGTATCTCTTCTGTCTGTACCTAAGTGAAGCTTTTAGAAGTACCTAGCATCTTTCTTCTCTACTCAACTTGTTTGGTATCCTTGCTTCTTTGTTGAAGATAATACTCAAATATGCAAAAAAATTATTTGAACCTTGAAGTTTATCATAAAATTATACGGAGTAGTTTTATTATGAGTTATGTAATCATATTTATTTAAAATTTTCTTTTTTGTGACTTACATATGTAAATGGATTATTTGAATTTTACTAAATGTTACTGACTCATGTTTTACCTCTGAGGCTTACCATCTCATTAGATGAGGCCAACAAGCCAAACACTTTGTGTAGTACTGATAGAAAACAAATGCATTTAGTATAATCAGTAACTTACTTGAGGATATCTCCACGAGACAAACGAAGTCTCCTTATAGCATCAAAAGCTCCTTTTGGCACACTTGATTTCAGGTTATGACCCAGGATATTAGTATCGTTGAAGAATGTAGGTTTCTCTTTGAATCCCCCAACATGATTGACAATAATATTCGAACACCCTTCCTCCTTTGCTACAAAGTTAGAACCATTGGAACAATAATTGCCATGCTTTCCCCAGTATTGCCTACCTCCTGAAGTTGCCATTGGACATGCAACAGCCCAGTGATCAAGCTTAAAGCATCTGATGCAAAATGAATGAGAACCTTCAGCCCAATCATATGAACACACCTTATTCCTCAAAAGGTCTTCCTGCTCACTCTCATCTGCATCTGAACAGTTATGTAAATCATGTCCATTCTTTCCACAGAACAAACAGATTGTTTTTGTGCAAGTTGCTTCGTTTCTAGTGTCTGGAGGTATGATGTGTTTAAAAGCATCCAATCTCCTTGCGAACAATGATGTCATTGCCTCTGAGCTCTTCAGTTTTGTAAAGGGCGTGATCGGATTCAATTTATGAATCGATTTACTGTCATCTTTGAATGCAATGAAAGCATCCTCGTCCATTGTATTACACTGCATGTCCTTTAACAGCTCATAGTCAGGATCTTCAGAAAACAACCCCTTCGGTTCAGAAACTTTATTGTTATTAGAAACAAGATATTCACAAGTTATCTGAGCATTAGGTTCAGACTTTGCACATTTAGCTGACTCATCTCTATTTTCTCTGCTTTCGGGTGAGTTTAAGACTGTGCTTGGGTCCCGGGCTGAAAATCGGGTGATCCAAAAGCTTTGAAGAGAAGTAACATCATATGTATCTTTTGTTTCTTTTTTTTCAGAATGGTGACTTGGACTGGTGCTCTCTCCATTATTGTCCGTTCTAAGCATACACATAGAACCAGAAGAACACCCTTCCATTTTCTTTTTGTTTTCTGGAGAATTTGATTTACATTCCTGAGACAAAATTGGGGATTTAGGCGAAGAGGCACCTTCATCCATGTCGGTTGTGTTGATTTTCTCATCCAACACATCATTTTCCTCTCGATGGCATGTTATTGGTGAAACCTCAATAACCATCTTGTCATCTGAAAAGGCATCCTTAGATTCCCCAGCAGACAGATCATCTTTTGGTGTTCTTTTATCTTGTGGAGAATATAGAGAATGAAACATGGCTTGGAACTCTATGTTTTTTTCACACGTGGAAATTCCATAATTATTCACATTATCAATATTAGCACAAGTAAGGGCAAGGGCAAGGGAAGGAACTTCTTCTTGGTCCGGGTTTGAGGAACCGTTCACCATATTAGAAACCCAAGTCATAAAAGAGCTGTTTCCAGCATCTTTGGGGGTTGGATCAGAAGACGCAATTTTGGTTTGCTCTCTCATTCTTTTGCCCCTTCTGAGAGACACCTTCGTGCTGTTGCAGCTTTCCACACTCTCATGGCTGCTGTCTTCTTCCTCGTCACTATGTAAAAAATCTTTCCTTTTACCTTTCCTCTTCCGTGAAGAAGAAGATATTTTTTGTGTTGAAGAAACTGCAAGTGGCAGAGAGTCCCTAAACTGCAGACTTGCTTCTTTCATGGCTGAGTTCTGTATGTCATTTTCAGCAGTGAACTCTGTCTTTTGCAGTGTAAGATTAGGGACTGAAGCATTAACAGGTCCAGAATTTCTTGAAGGTAGGAAATCTTCCAAGGCTGTTGTAGAAACTAAACCGGCATTCTCTTCGTGTATGCTGCAACTGCTTGCAGCAACTTCACCCTGTCCCACAGACTTTGCTGTCTGGTGTTCTTCATCCCCTGCATGCAGTAAACCCACGTTTGAATAACATGCATTTTCTGAAAACATAACTTCTTCAAATATCCTACTATCTCCACATTATTATTTTTCATGTAAAAACAAAAATAATCCTTTAATCTATTAGACTCAGGGTCTGTTTTGCTACTTTTCTTTGTCGTGATAACGTGTTTTGAGCCAAGGTTCTCATAAAAACAACCTCATACTCTCTGAGTATGGGTAAGGTTTACGTACACACACCATCCCCAGACCCCACTCTGTGGGGATTGGAATTTACTGGGTCCGTTGTAACATATTATGCCAGGTTGGTATCTATAGGAAAAAGGACTCACAAAAAGATATAGGTAGTTTGGTATTTCTCTTATGAAGTGATGAACTGCGAACACGAAGTGTCATGTTTTCTTGCCAAAAAGATGTCTACTTGGTAATTCGTGATAGGAAAGTGTTGTGAATGCATATTTATTTAATACTTAGGTGCTGATAAACTTTTAGCATAACTAGATTAAAATTAATTTTGTCAAAAGCCGAGAACGAAATCATTCCCTAGAAATTGTGGCTATTGTTCACCAACATAGACCATATTGTTGAGCTATAAAGTACTCACCGGCATAATTTTCACAGCCATCATCCTTTCCTGTCATCATCTGAACACTCTGTGTAAAGGAGAGATCCTTCTCTTCACTCTTCACCTGAGGCTCTTTGTTTTGATGGGTATCATCATTTCCAACTCTATCTGCAGGTTTTGTTTTCTCCATAACACAAGTTTTTCCTGCAATATTTGAGCAACACTTCTATAAGATTCACCTAATTAATTTCCTAAGACTTGGGAAAAGTGTAAACATCAGATAAGATACTAGAGCAACTAGGATATTACCTCTGTCGAACTCCTTTTCATCATAAACACTGTTGAATCTGACAATTTCCGAAGGGGCAGAAAGGTCATTGCAGGGTGCCACATTCCACACAAGAAAGGGCTTGTTATTAGCTAAACTGTTTTCGGTGCATTTCAGACTCACGCCTTTCTGGGGAGACCAAACTAGTTCAGACAACGGATCAGGTGCCGAGAATATATTATAACTAGAGCCTCCTCTTGCATTTACACCTGCACCTGATTCATTCTTCATCTTTTCCTTCCCACTTGGTTTGGAGTATCCTAAAGCAAGCTTTAAATCTAACTCATTGCTAACCCTCTTCATAAGCAATGCTCACAAATTACGTAGACAACGGAACCTGGAAGTTTTGAGTTAAAAAGAGCTTCGTCAAGTGTTGTAATGGTCATAAATCATCATAGGAAGTCATCTCAAATCAACAACAACAACAACAAACAAACCCGATAGAAACCCACACAAGGTATGGGAAGGGTGTGTGTATGCAAACCTTACCCCTACTTGAAAGTACAAAAGCTATTTTCAAAAGATTTCGGCTCAAAAAACATAGATAAAGCAAAGTAAAAAGGGCTCAAAATGTGTCAAATGAGGAAAACATTACTATCTATTTAAATTCCAGATACACATAGTGACCTACCTATTTGCCTGAAATGGATGTTACTAGACATTAAAATCCAGCAATTTTGGCAAAGTAATCATTAAAAACAACCCCCTAAAAAATTATGTGACTGCAAGCTTCACAAGAAGAGTTATAACTTACAGATGAGGGAAGTAACTATCCTTTAAAATTTTGGCCTTCTCAGGCTACTCAAAATCTCCTCTACAAAACATATATTAGCTGATCGAGAGCAAGACCTGGTGCTGCAGTTTATCTGCACAAAACATATAAGCAAATATTTCCCATAAATTGCATCTGAAAAGTTGAAATCCCATAAGTTGAAAAATGCTCTGGTTGAGATTTATAATGACTTTCATGTACTGTATTAATTAGTACATTTCCATGAGGAATGTGCACAAAGACCCAAACTTTAGCCAGACCAGAAACTGAATGTATTAATACCAAACCTAACCAATCAGCCTCAATGGGAAATTTGCACAAAGACACAAACTTTATCAACTAAACCTAAGGTGGCTGACAAGAAAATATTTAATCCTTAATCAAAGTTCCAAACCCAGAATTTATTATTGATTACTTTCTCAGTCCCATAATTATCTTCTTACCCTTTTTTTATACGAGTTTTCTCGCAATTTTCTCCCACTTTTTTTTAGCGAAGAGATTGTGTATTCCATATTAGTTCTCTTTTCTCTGCACAGCCACACATTTTCTATTTTACTAAGATTCAAATCTGAAGATAAGTAAATAGTTAATACTCGTAGAAGACAACCAAAATAAAGAAGAAAAAAGCCCTTTGCTAAATCAACTCACATTCCTACTTTTTTCCACCTAATAATAATCACAAACTGCATCCATATTTAGCCAAACAGACGGCAAAAATGGCGAAACAGGTAAAACCATTACCAGAAAAAGAAGATTGCCAAAAAAATGCAGAGTTTGAAGTTCCAATGGACATGATAATGAGAAGAAATGTGATGGGAAATTGCAATAAAGCCTAGAGGAACAGTACAGAGTTGCAGGAGAAGGTATGGACAACTGGGCTTTAATGCAGAGAGAATGTGATCAGTGGCACTTATTGCGCCACGTGGATTGCTGCCTACCAGTGACTTTCTAATTATGAAGCTGTACAATATCTTTTAGCTGTTCCTTTCATGCCAATATTGGGTGAGTTGTGATTAAAAATAGCTAGAGGATGTCCAATTTTTTTTACACCACTTTGACATTATGATTTTCACAAAGACACAAATAATAACTGTTTGGGTTCCACAATTCACACAGTCACTTGTTGTATCTGTGAGAAACATTGTGTCAAAAAAAATAATCATGGTTGGCATACACCTACATTCTGTACACCAAAGTAACATCATTTTCATTTTTTTTCAATGTAATACTATATATTTTAGTTTTCCAATGCAGTTGTTCTAATACATGTTCACCGCCACGGGACATTGTTCAAAGTAAATGTCCACTCTAATAGACATTATTCAAGTAATATTTAGAGAATAAAAAGTTGTAGGCACTACATTGAAAAATATATATATACTCCCTCCGTCTTAAAATAGTCTTCTCAGTCACTATTCACACTGTCTAACTTTAATCACTTTCTTTACATGTTTTCCCTAATTATTTAATAAAATAATATAGTTATGTCACCTCTTATTTTGTAGAACTTTTGATATAATTTTGAGATATAATGGAATTCGAGGAGTCTTTGTTGTTGGGGTGGGTGGTGTGAGTTGTGATCCAAGTTGGGGTCAGGCTGTTTATTTTACAGTACTACGGAGTATCATTTTCAAGTACCATGCAGAGTGTACAATGTATATATACACACACAAAAAAAGAGGGAAAATGTATAGGTTAGATTTGGGTTATAATTAAGCTGGGAATCTGGAAGCATTGCCAAATCCAGATTCGGGTACAGGGAATCATTTCGTTCTCCGTTTTTATTCACTTTTAATTTTTTCGATCAAAATCGGTACACTTTAATCGTAAATTAAACAAAAGTACTCCGTAGTATTATATATTGATACAAGAATAATTTTATTATATTCATTTTATAAAATATTTTTAAAATATTATTTTATATAATTAATATACAATATATTTTATTTATTTATAGGTCAGAGGTTGAAAGCGGTTGACTACAAAAAGTTAAAACTGGACAAATATTCAGGAACGGAGGTTGTACATGCATTTAAATGTGTTCATTATTTTTTGGAGTACATTTGAGTTCAGTTAACTTAACTTTAAGACTTTTTGATTGGGTTTGTTACGTAAATTTTAGTACAAAATGTAATAAACTAACGGAGTTAAAATTATTTTATTTTGTTTTATTAATTTTAACTAAAATAAAAAGTGGTCTCACTTTTTTTGTAGTCTGCCAAAAAAATAGCGACAAAGTTGTAGTTGTATTCAATTTACCAAAGTAATTTTTAAACTTTTTTATTAATAATTTTCTTATATAATTATTTCAATAATGATGGACTGGAACAAGAATATAAAAAAGAGAAGGGAGAAGTGACGAAGTGAGACTTTTATACGTAATTCAATAGAAGGTGAATTATTTTGCGCTAACTCTACGAAGAGTTCAATTATTTTGGGCAAAATAACGAAACAAGAGAATTTCTAACTCATTATTCTGTTCACTTATTTCCGTCAAGAGTATAATGGTGACCTAAAATACGTAACAACTTGAAAAGTTAAAATTATTTCACACATATAACATTAAGAAACTGAATTATATTTAAAATATCTCAAAAAAGTGGGATAATTTCCTATATAACAAGTGCCTAAATACAACATTGAACAGAGAGAATTTGTATTATTGTCTTTGATTATTCTTGTAAAAGTAGTTACACTTTAAAAGATATTTACATTGTTTTTAATTGTCAAACTTCTTTTATTTATAATTAGAATAAGGTTCATTTGAATTGAACAAATACGATGTCTGATTCATAAAATTTATGATTTTTACCCTTCCACCCCCAAATCCTCATACCCCTTTTATCCCTCCCTTCTATAAGGGATTTGCACCATTACAATTATAATACTGTCTCCGTCCAAATTTTGATTACAATCTTTTCCTCTCTTATCTCTCGATAACTTTTGTTTATATGTGTGTTTTTATTGCTTATTTCATAAAATAAAATATTCTTATCACCTCTTATTTTGTAGAATTTTTTATATGACTTTTAATATAAATAAAATAATTTTAAAAGATACGAGATTTCACCACATAAATCTCAATTTGTAATCGAAATTGGGATAAAAGGAGTATGAGAAATGACCCATTGTCATATTATAATGTCATATAACATTAGACTTTAGTGTCAAAAGATCTTAATTTTTATATTTATTCCTCGTGAGTAATAAATACCAAGTATGCAAGTAGAAAAAGTAAAATGCCAAAAATTATGTACTTCTTCCGTCTCAATTTTTAAATTATTCATTTTGATTTACGATATCTGAGTAAAATTATTTTTAATTTAATTTAATTAAAAGTTGGGTGGTATTAAAATATAAAATATATATTTAAAAACTACATTAATAATTTTTCAAAATAAATAGTAACATGGTTTTATAATTTTATAAAATAAATAGTAAAATATGTTTAAAAAAATTACTGTAAAATTTTTTTATCTTGTGATTAATAAATATAGGATTTAATGTGAGAAGTGTACGTGAGTAGTATGAGTTGGAAGGCAATATAGCACATCGATCAATGTATGTAGGTGGGTATGACAATTCTGACTTTAGACTAAGCACAACAAGAGAACATGACCAATGGAATATGAAATGATTTTTATGGTCCAAAATCATTGGCTTAATCATTATTCAGCCTTTTGAAAGTGTCTTTCTAACCACTTTTTCACAATAGCTTGCATTTCTTAAGAATGAGCCATATCTTTGTGGACTTCTTCAAATATAACCCTGAACACTTACCGAAAATAGATAAATTAGACTCTAATTACAAATAGGTGACAAAGAATATAGCATACCTGCACCTAGTACTTGCAGATGCCATATGCTTAGCATAGTTGCATCGTAGCACAATTGTCAGGAATTGAATCCAGGTCTTATTTCCTTGACGCTTCTTGTCTTGTCAACTACTCAACGCCAATGCACAATAGCTTGATGATGTCAAGGTTTTTAAAATTAAACAAAACAGTTGTATTCAGTAACTTGCATGACACGTGTTTATATAACAAACAAAAAAAATCATACTTGATTGATATCCACTCGAAATATGAATAGTGAGTGCTAATTGAGAATCTAATATGTGAAATAATATTAAGGATCATGTTAGGGGTACGCTATTTGGTGTATACTATTTTGTACACCATACACTTTGATGTTCACATTAACACAAAATACTAATACAAAAATTTTGCAATCAAATTGATATTTTGTGCAGGTGTGAGCGGTCAAAGTGCTGATACAAAATTGTGGCAAATAAAATGATGTACAAAAGTAGTGTATTGAGCCCCAATTCCATTCTATGACTCGAGCTCTAACACTATGTTTGATTCAAAGAATTTGAGAGGGAAAAGAAAAGAAAATGAGAAGGAAAATATTTTTCTTGTTTGGTTAGAGAGGAAAAGAAAAGAAAACGGGAAGGAAAAGAAAAAGAGAAGGCAATATGCAATAAGAGGAAGAAAAACCAAATTCCTCCCATTTTGGTGAGGAAAATGAGGGAAAACCATTTTCTTTTCTTTTCCTACCAAATTCATTGAACCAAACATAGTGTAAGTGAGGCACCTACGATGCTCTGTTCAAAAAAATGACGGTTCTTATCCTTCTTAATTCTCTGATAAATCTCTCACTCCGACCCGATTCGGAGCCCACCCCTCACCATCTTCAATTGCACCCGAAAGAGAATGGCAGCTGGGTGGCTCACATATGGGGCCCGTGTTTATGGATATAGGTGAGTTATGAAAAGGCCTTATGTTGGTGGCCCAATGGCTTCAATTGTGACCCCCCAATAAAGTAAAAAGGAATTTTACCTTGTCCCAGTTGTGCCTCTAATATTTTATAGGGTAAGTTTTTAAATAGTCATTTATAACAGAGGTAGTTTAGTTTATAATCATCTACGGAGTATTTTAAACTGTTTTCTTTGTGACGTTTTATATTTGAAATCACTATATAATTTGTTTCTTTGGAGGAAAATTTTCAAAAGAATATTTTTTTAGCTCAAAAGAATTGACTATGAAATGATTTCAAATATAGAGCACTAAGAAGAGAATATTTTGAAATAGAACATAATATTGAAAAACACTCTAGTTACAGAGAGTTAGTTCCAAACTCAGTATAACTTATAATAAAAAATTTCAATAATTTGTCTATGTTTAATATTCAATAAATAAAACATGAAAAAAGTACGGAGTATTAAAATTTCAATGAGTTGAAGTTCTCTTTTGGCTTGAGTGGCAATAAAATTACTAATTAAAATCTTTGTGAGATGCTCATTCACCCAAAGTGTGAATCAAACTCGATAAATTTTTATCTCGTTTTGGCTTCTATGCAATCCATTTAAGTACGGATGTACTACATCCGTCCTAGAGTATTTGTTCAATTTTGACTTTTTCAGTCAATCATTTTCAAATTTTAATCTATAATTAGATAAAATATATAGTATACTCCCTCTGTCCGGATTTAAAGTTCCCGGTTTGACTTTTGCTCATTTTTAGTGGAATTTGACTTTGTGTACAATTTGTCCAAAATACCCTTATCCGATTTCAATTTTTACTCCACCTACGTTTTTCCATGGAATTTCTATGGAACAAAAGACAATGGACACCTGCACGATCGAAGAAGGGTACAATTTCAATCGATGTTTCTGCTCAAACAAGGGGCTTCAAGAATTGAATCCTCTCCACAACTTTAATTGGGATCAAGAATTAACTCCTCTGCTCAAATGGAGTATGGACTTGAATTGTCTCCTCTGCACAACTTCAATTGAATCATCTTCTCTGATATGCGCAGGATCGAAGAACAACAGGGCAACTTGCGTTCTTCCAGATCTGAAAAAAATAAAGGGCTTTGAGAAAAAGAATGAGAAGAAGAAAAAGAGGAGAAGGGGAGAGGGGGGAGAGGGAAG